CTGACGCAGGGTGTATGATTTCTGTTGCTAACTCAATTAAAAGTAAAGGAAACTTTAAATGTAAAACTAATTCATGTTCTTAGCTGGATAAATACAGATATTTGATTTTTGGTAATACTGTAACAAGTACTTAAACTCCACTCCTCACCTACCTACTCTAAAAGAAAACTTGTGAACTTGATGTTGAAGGTGAAGCGTACCAGGTGATGTGCATTTCCATCATTGTCTAGCTTTAATGAAAACCAGAATTTAGGTATGTCATTGTGTTTGGAATGTCAAAACATGCCCCAGTTGGAGAGTGCAGAATGTCTGTGATTCATAAGAGATCACTAAGTTACATAATTATATGGAAGAAAAAGTAAATTAAGCTGCTTGTCAGAGAGAAAGTTTATCAGACTATAGTAAAGTCTATTGTGACAGAAAAGATGCCCCAGTAATGCTTGCCTGGTGTTCATGCCCTTGTACGCTGAAATTGGGCCACCCTAGTTTCTTGCTTCTAACCAATCAAATACAGCAAACATTATGAGATGTCACTTCTGTGATGAGGCTAGATAAGATGTTATTGAACAAATGGGCTAACTACCCAACGTGCATAGAAACCAATACAGTGGTATCAGCTTTTGCGAAAAGAAAGGCTTTATTGAGAAGCTGCCATCAAAGAGACGGGAGATGCATCTCAAATGTGTCTCCCCAGTTTGGGGTCTAGGGCAAGTTGTAACAGGTCAGAGAGCAAAGAAAAGGAATTAGAAATGTAGACTTGGCAGGGTATGATTTGAAGGCTTCAAATTTGACTATTTATGGTGGAATATATTGAAGTGAATTTTAGTCCTAGATCTTTCTGTCCAACAAATCTTTTGCTTCTGAAAGACTTCCAGCATTCAAGTTCTGATTGTGTCCCTGTCTGATTGGTATCTCGGGGAGGAATTGTTGGTTCCAGGTGTTGTTAGAGATCAAAGCTCTTTTTGTTGTGCATTCCTGGGCTACATGCCTTGCAATTTGGGCTCTGTTAAACCTGCAGGGTAACTTGACATTCTCTTATCAAAAAAGTAGGCCCAGTTTGGGCTGGTCCTGTGGCTACAAAGATAGTGACTTTCTCTTGCTTTCCATACCCTTTCCTTTGTTGGCTTTAATGAAACAAGTTGCCAAGTTGGCACATACAAGAACCGTGGGCAGCTTCCAGCCATCTGCCCACTAGGAACTGAGACCGTCAGCTCGACAATCCTTGAGGACCTAAGTACTGCCAACAAGCATGCAAGCTTAGAAGCAGAGCCTCCCCAGTTAAGACTTTAGATAAAACTCCAGCCATAACTGACACCTTGATTGCAGCCCTGTGAGAGATTCTAAAGCAAAGGGCTAGGTTGAGCTGTACCCAGGCTGCTGACCCATAGAGCTGTGAGATTATAAATGTGTGTTGTTTTAAGCTTCTAAGTTTGTGATATTTGATATATAGTAATAGAAGACTATTAGGTATATTAGGTATATAAACAAATAGTATATATAGGTAATATAAACCATTAGTTATAAACATAGGTATATTAGTTTGCTAGGGCTACCACAACAAAGTTTAAATAACAGAAATTTATTTTCTTACAATTCTAGAGGCTAAAGGGCTTCTGAGGCTTCTCTCTTTGAACTGTAGATGTCTGTCTTCTCCCTGTGTTTCCTCTGTGCATGTTGGTGAAATAGTTTTTTCACATTACGGGAGGGACCTAAAAAAGAGAATAAATTTTTGAAGCATGGGCCCCTTATAGTACAAGGTTCCCCCACCAGTTAAGTATTCTAGGAACCTATCAGCATCCAGTGTACTAGCTTGTGTTGTTGTGAGTGGCCACCTTCGGCTTCAGGGAATTTTTTGTTGTTGTTGAGAGTCTTTCGACACATCTGCCCATTTCATGATGGATGATTAATGAGTGCACCTGCCCACACCATGCTCAGTGTTCAGCAGTTCTTCACCAAAAATGGCATGACCCCTATGCCCCACCCTCCCTGTTCTCCCAGTCTCTTCCAAGCAACTTTCTTTTGTCTCCCTGGATGAAAAAGCCTTCAAAGGGACATGTTTTGCTGATGTGGAAGAAATGAAACAAAAAAGGAAAGAAGCAGTCAAAGGCCTCAAAAGTAACAAGTTTCAAACCTGTTTTGAGTGTGGCAGGATGTGGCAAATGCTCAAATATATTTCTTGTATGATTGAGTGAATACACCCAGAAACACATGTAGCTGGTCCGGGATCAGCAGTTGGTCTTATGGCAATCACCTGGAATAACCCCCAGCGGCAGGAGGAGGGGTTGCTAGCAGTTAAAGGTATTTCCTTTTGAAAGGCAAGTTGCAACTTTAAAGACCGCCAGGTTTTGTTTAAGAAAGGTCAAATGGCCCAGAGACTGGCCATTTCATGGAAATGGAAAAGAGTCTTATCTAAAAACCCCCCTTTTGAAGTTGACTGTTTACAAGCCTGCAGTTCCTAGAAACCATTTGTTCTTTGAAAAATCTGATTTTGCTGAGTATAACCTTGTAAAGTTCCAAAGGAAGTATGTAATAACTCAACACGACCCCCTCCCTTACCTAAATAAGGGTATAAGACCCCACTTCTCCTGTTCTGGGGTGCTCGATTTGGACCCTTGGGCCCGCTGGAATGGTCATGATCTCTCTATTTTTCCTGCTACATGAGCAGTGGAAAAAGTCTGATAGATGCACTGCATTAAATGAGTACTTGAAGGTGACTGAAGCTTAAACATGAAAGAATAAATACACAACTTTTTATAAATAAATTATGGGGTTTTTTGGGTTCCCCCCCACCGTATTGGGTTAGAATCCACATTAATGACATCATTTTAACTCAATAACCTCTTTAAACATTCCATTGCTAAAAACAGTCACATTTGTAGTCAGGGAGTTAGGATGACTTAAACATATGAATTTTGCTGTGAAACAGTTCAGCCCATAACAATAGGCTATATAAAATTCTATAATTATGTATGTTACCATAGCAAAAACCCTGTAGAATTTATTGTTTGTAGTGGTTTTGGCTTCTTTGTTTTTTGTTATTTTAATATGATTATATAGTTTCAGGTGATTTACATAGATATCACATGGTTTGCCACATATATTTACATACCTTTGTATCCACAGCAAAACTATAATCCCCATAAGCATAAGTCTTTCATGATATGCTTTCCATATAACACTTTATAGTATTTGTTTAAGGTAATGGTGTTAGATGCATTTTCAGTGGTTTAGCTTTTGGTGTTTACTTGTAAAGTGTTAAATAAGAATATTCTAGCAGTAGCTTGTTTTCAGAATAAGAACCTGTTAAAAAGATAGGAGATTTGAAGAATTTGCATTTACGCAAAGTAGGTATAGTTTTAGATAGTGGTAAGGTCAAAAAATATTCATCTTTATATTTGGCAATCCAGATATAATGGATACACTTTTAGACCCTCTCCAAGGCTATGCTGATTTATTAAGACTCTGTTATTAATACTTTGAGCTACTAATAACACTAAATGTGTTTAATATTTTCCTAAATTGCCAAAAAAATTATTGTATACAATTGTTCTTTATAACATATACCAGTGGTTCTCAGAGTATGGTCTACAGGTTCAGAGAGTCCCTGAAACTCTTAGGGAATCTTTGAGGTCATAACTATTTTAAAATAAAACTAAGACATCATTTGCCTTAAAAAAATTATTTTGAAATTTATATACATGTTGACATGTGTTGCATTACAAATAGCAAAACAAATACTGGGTAAAATTGCTAGAGTCCTTTGTATGAATCAAGGCAGTAGTGTTCAACTGCTATTAGTCTTTATATTTTAAAATAGGGATAACAGCTGGGCACTGTGGCTCATGCCTGTATTACCAGCACAAACAATAAACATACAAGGGAAGCAGAGGCAAGGGAATTGCCTGAGCCCAGGGGTTCGAGACCAGCCTTGGCAACTTGGCAAGACCTTGTCTTACAATGAATAAAAAAATTAACCGAGTGTGGTGGTGCATACCTATAGTTCCAGCTACTTGTAAGGCTGAGGTGGAAGGATCACCTGAACCGCGCAGGTTAAGGCTGCAGTGACCATGAGCATGCCACTGCACTCCATCCTGGGCAACAGAGTGAGACGCCAACTCAAGAAATAAAAATAAATAAATAAATAAAATGGGGTAACAATATTGCCTATCTCAGAGGATTGTTGTAATGTTTAAATAATATGTTCTGTGTAAAGACTCTCCACTAATGACCATTGCTAGTTCTATCATCAACATGTGTTTCTGCTGTGTTCTTGTCCCTCTCTGTTATCTATTTTGTGCTTTGGTGAATGATTTGGTTATAATTATATGTATATGTACCACCACGTAGAAAATTATCAAAGTAGTTCTTAAAATGCAGGTTTACAGTGGTTCATCCTTTAAATAAATGCTTAAGGAAACATAGAAAGGTGAAGATGAGCAAGCAACCAGGGATTTTGGGAGATCCTTGGTATTAGGGAGAGCATCAGATAGCTAGGAAGTTGGACCAACAATTGTATGAAGAGTAGTTGACAGAACATATGACTGAACAGGGAATACTTCTCTGTTAGAGATAAACTAAAATTACCCTATTTACCATTGACTCTATTGGCAATTCAATTCCAGATGTACACCCTGTGGTCTACATGGGTATGTGTATGTTTGATTACTTATGTTGTAGCAATATGTATTTAAGTCAAAGGTAAGAAAGAATAGTATTGTTTTGTGCTTTTTCTGCCATTTCTTCCAGCCTGACCTAAATTCAGCTCTATCAAGCATTAAGCCAAAATAAAATAAATAATAAAATAAAATAAATTAAATTAAGAAAATTAGATTGTTGAATTGTATGCTGTTCACTGAATTCCAAATTTATATGATCACTATTTAAAAACAAATCAAAGGATAAGTAAATGATAAGTCTTTATGTCATTTTGGTATGCTGTTTATTGTGTTATTCTTTTTTGCTTTATTGTTATTTATTTGTCTGTTTTTTTTTTAATATAGATCATCAGAAACTGGAAAGGGAAGCTAGAATCTGCCGTCTTTTGAAGCACCCCAATATTGGTGAGGAAATGTGTTCAATGTTAATTCAAAATTTTATGTTTTATATATATATATTGCACTACAACAAAAATGTTAATTTGATAATTTAGAATATCTATAACTATTAACAAATAGGTTCCTAACTTCTGGTCTTGGGTATATTTGGTTCTTTAAAGTTTCTTTTTGTATGTTTATTGTTTGTTGTAATCGTTGAAGTAGGAATGGAAAAATATTAAACTAATCTTAATTTGTAGAAATTAATAAAGATTGTATGTTAACTAATTAATAGTGCATTTTTTCATGTTGTGCTAAAAGTAGACAGCACACCAATCACTGGGAAAAGAGAAAAATTTAAATAATAAATTAAATTTAGGTAACACCTGGTTAGATTATATTAGCTTTATTTTAGCCACATATTTTGGAGTCTGTTATATTGAGTCTGATGTCCTCTCTAGACTCATGTAAAATGAAAATAATAATCCTTTTCCTAATTTAGAGAATAGTTGTGATGATAAAAATGAAGTATGCCTAAAAATTATGTTGAAAAGATATGTAAATATATTTTTCAAAAGGTAACAATTTTATATAAACTACACTTTAAAAAATAATATAAGGTTTGCCAGGCTAGGCAGCTCAGCCTGTAATCCCATCACTTTGGGAGACTGAGGCAAGATTACCAGAGTTTGGGGTTTCAAGACCAGCGTGGGCAACTTGGTGAGACCTAATCTCTACAATAAATTACATAAGACTAGCCAGGCATTTATGTATCTATAGTTCCAGCTACTTGGAACTATAGATACATAAATACTATAGTTCTATACATACTATAGTTCTATAGTACCTGCTACTTGGAAGGCTGAGGTGGAAGGATCACTTAAGCTCAGCAGATCAAGGCTGTGGTGGCTGTGAGCGTGCCACTGCACTCCACCTGGGTGACTAGAGTGAGACTCCAACTAAAAAAATAAATAAAAATAATATAAGTTACCAGTAGCTTAGTGCTTTTATGTGTCTTTAAGAATTTGTTGACCAGGCACAGTGGCACAGCCTGTAATCCCAGCACTTTGGGAGGCTGAGGCGAGAGGATTACCTGAACCTAGGGGTTGAAGATCAGCCTGGGCAACTTGGTGAGACCTCGTCTCTACAGTAAATCACAAAAACTAGCCAGGCATGGTGGCATACGTCTGTAGTTCCAAATACTTGGAAGGCTGAGAAGGAAGGTTCACCAGAATCCAACAGGTCGAGGCTGCGGTAGCCATGAGCATGCCACTACTCTTCGGCCTGAGCGATAAGAATGAGACTCCAACTCAAAAAAAAAAAAAAAAAAAAAAATAGAAAAAAGAATTTTTCAATTGCTGTTGCTAGAGTATGGAGAAACAGAACTTACGTCATTACTTTAGTCAGCTAAATTACTTTTCACCTATCCTTTAAAAAGTGTACCTTATATTCAATTATTTCATTTCAGAAATTAGTAAAATGGTTTATCACTGATAAATCATATTATCACTGATGAACTGTAAAATTTTAAAAATGATGAATTTGAGAAACAGAAGAAACAAACACAGGAAAAAGAGGAAAAAAGTGTCAGCTAGACTTTGACAATAGTTTTGATTACTTTGGACAGATATTACCATCCCAACTCTTTCAATTTTATTGTCAACATAAGTATTTCTGATTTAGAAGTAGAGAGAAACCGGGCTCGGTGGCTCAGCCTGTAATCCCGCGCCTTGGGAGGCTGAGGTGAGTGGATTGCCTGAGCCCACGGGTTCGAGACCCGCCTGTACAACTGGGTGAGACCTCATCTCTACAATAAATCAAAAAATTAGCTGGGTGTGGTAGTGAACACTTGTAATTCCAGCTACCTGGAAGACTGAGGCGAAAGGATCGCCGGAGCCCAGCAGGTCGAGGCTGCGGTGGCTCGGAGCGGCCACTGCACTCTAGTCTGGGCGACAGAGTGAGACTCCAACTCAAAAAAAAAAAACCCAAACAAAAAACAAAACAAAACAAAAAAGAAGTAGAGAGAAAGGGGGTAGTTAATGTAGACTTTGCAAAATCTTTCACTGAGAAGTTTGTAGGTCTTTTATTTTTATGTGTAGGAGCATTCGATTTCTATTCCTGCCTTGAAGTTTTCAGTATCCTGCATTTAGTCGCTACATTTTAGATATCTTAGGACCTTAAGTGAATGAATAGACACTGTGGAGTAAATCTGAAGTATTAGCATACTGACAGCTATCTAAATGGTTTTTTTTTTTATTTGAAGAGAGAACAAAAAAGCTCTGAGATGTAAATCTCCTTAAAAGTGTTTAGTCGAGCCGGGCTAGGTGGCTCAGCCTGTAATCCCAACACTTTGAAGAGGCTGAGGTGAGTGGATTGCCTGAGCCCGCGAGTTCGAAACCCGCCTGGGCAACTTGGCGAGACCTCATCTCTATGATAAATCAAAAATTAGCCGGGCGTGGTAGCGTGCCTGTAGTTCCAGCTACTTGGAAGGATGAGGCGGAA